CTTCAGTGTATTTAAAATAAAAGATTTAAATTGTTTAATTAAGAATATAATTAAGAAAACATTTGATAAGAATTCAAAACATTAAGATTAGATATTTATATAAATATAACAACTACATCAGAAAGTTGTTATAAATATCACTAAAATTGCAACAAGTTAAAGAAAGTGTAAAAGCAATTAAGAATGATTAAACAATAAAGAATATGCTTATTTAAAGATATATGTATATGAATAATGTTATAAAAGTGATTATATATATAATTAATGTGTGCATATGTGTGTATTAACAGGCTATGGCAGAGTGATTTTGGCTATTATATCGTTTTACTTTATGACAACTAACCATGTCATTGCCTCATGGTGTTATATAATTAGTGCACTATTAGATGCAGTGGATGGTCATGCAGCAAGATATTTCAATCAAGGCACCAAATTTGGTGCTATGTTAGATCAATTGACTGATCGTGTTGGTACTATGTGTCTTTTAGCTACATTGTGTATATTTTATCCATCATACTCATTTTGGTTTCAATTAAGCATGGCTATTGACATTAGTTGTCATTGGATATACTTGCATACGTAAGAATAAATTTTATTCAGATACATATACATTATTATCATTGCACAAGTATACAGAGAACAATTCTATTTCATCATATAATTGTGAGGTATTATATTATAGGTCTCTTTTACAAGGCAAAACAAGTCATAAATTTATTGATATGTCTGAAAATCCAATCATGAGAGTGTATTACACTAATCGTATAGTCTTATTTGTCATGTGTGCTGGTAATGAAGCTTTTTATGCTGCATTGTACCTTTTATACTTTACCGAAGGACCTACTTGTAAGTTACTATCTTTTTATGTATATATATTATTAGTATTAAATACTGCAATGAATACTATAAAATATGTATTCTTATTTCAGTTATCGGTATGAGTTTATTCAGATTGGTTATGTATCTCTCTGCACCCATAGCATTTGTTAAATCTGCTATTTCATTGTTACATGGATACATATCCTGCATCAATTTAAGCATAATTGATGTCAAGGAAAGAGAAAAGTGTGTAAAAACAAATTAAATTAATTTAATTAAGCATGATTAATTGATCTTCCTAATTTGGTGTCTGTCATAAGCAAGTACATGTTTACACCATATTTTTACCATTTGATCTGATTAAATGTGCCACATTTAAAGTTAGAATCTATAAACTATTTTAATATGAAATAGATACATGGTGCTAGTCAATGTTTAATTTTTTTATAATAGTAAGCTTACTACAAGCATTGTACATTATATTTTTTCCTATACAACTAAAGATCAAAGCTATTAAAAAAAGAAAAAATCTTGTCTCGATGTAATATGTCCTGTTATAGTTTTTAAATAATGATTTTATATTTTTAATAATGCATACAACTTAATAATTTTGATTTAGAATAGTTCTTATAGAATGGTATTAGGAGAGTATCAGTAAGTGTACTAGATATTATTGATTTCTAAATATTTTAATGCAATGTAATCTTAAACATCTCATGTTCCATTATTTTATATATTATATATTATAAAATTATATTTT